GGCCTCGGACCTCACAGAACAAGCCAGGTTTTTTTTATTGTCTCCAAACTTTGGATGCAAGCCAAGCTATTGTGCGGGCTAATGCACTCCAGCCATTTTCAGACCACCGCGCAGCGAGACATGGGCTCTGCTGATGAAATGTAAAATGGTCAATAAGGTTTAATATCAACACATGCCCTGATCTCAGTTTGGGAGAAGAAGAAAAAACGCTTTAAACTCTGAACCAGTGAAAGGAATGATTACATAGATTAAAACGTGTGTACACAAACGGTGGAGTGAACCTGCTGGATACTTGAACTCTTATCTCAGTTCCCCCTGTTGCTGTTGCTGCTGCTGTTCCTTAATTCTCGACTACTCCACCTTTCCATATACGAATGCTTGATTACAGACGATGAAGTGGACATAGAGAAAATAAGGCTGAGGAAAGAAATGTAGCTGCTGTTTAAGGATTCCTTTCTGCAGTGTATATATTCAAGAGGGATAACAATGTGTGAGTGTGTGTGAGCGAGACAGAAACAGTGTGAGCGGAGCTGGACCCCTGCGTCTCCTAGTCATTACAGCTCATTTGTCTGAGTGCTATTCCACTTGGCTGGGTTGAGTTAACAGTTTGCCCTGGCACTCTCTCCCTCCTCGGAGCCCAGCACAGCGACACATTTGGAGAGAGGGAAATGGGAACACTGTATGGATTTTATCAGGGGCCACACACAGGAGGCATAACACAAGGAAACTTTTCTTGCTCCTTAATAGCACACACGTAGATGTAACAAACCAAAGTGCATGTTATGACTATAACAACAGAGATTTGTGAGACATCTCTCAGCGCCAGCGGCTGTTTATACCCCCCGATCCCCTGGAAAGTCTAATGACAGCTAATCAGATGCACATCCACACTCTAATTAACCAATTAGCGGCTAATGGATACACATACTGTACGCAAAACACTGAGGATCATTATGAGACACTCATAGTTTTCACTTTACCCCAGACTCTTTTCTGGCCAAATGAGGGAGACAGCAGGCTGTTAACAAAGAAAAAACATCAGTCCCCTGCATTCATGAACAGTTAACTAGTGCAGCAGGAGAAATGACACACAGTCAGAAATACGAGGTAAAAAAAGGTATCCCTAAAATTAGTACACAGTCAAAATGTTGAACAAAGATACAATAACGCCATCTGCTCACACACATTCACACAAAGACTCAAGCATACTCAGCTTCTCTTGATGTTTGAATTTGAGAATCACAGACAGCCTGTTTCTATGCTGAATATATTTTGGAACCTTAATTAGAATCTAATCAAATGAATGGAAAGAGCACCCACTCGATAAAACACTCCAGAATGCAAACGAGGAGCAATTTCAGCCAGCAAGACAACTCAAAAATAAACTTTATGTCTTGGTGGGTTTTCAGACTTTATGACTCTTGCCTTGTCATAACTTTGATAGAAAACAGAAGTTTTTTAGAATGTTTTCCAGCATTGTTATAAATGTACTTTTCTGTTTTGAAACGACAGCCATTCACTTTGCACAGGAACATAGCCAGTGAAAATGTGTTGATGGGCCAGGACCTGTCAAGAGGGACCAATAAAAAAAATCAGCCATCACTAAAAACTGAGCTATTAAGTGAAAAAACTAATTGCAACAACGCAGCACAGCGGGACTCTTTATAAAGAGAAAACCCTGGGAAAACAAGATAATTAAAGGGTGTGTGGAAACCATCTGGCTGCTTCTATTCAGCTGCAAAAGAAATAACTTTTTTAGAGCTTACGGCTAATGGAGCAAGTACTCATTAAGATGTCGGCCTTTTTGTTACATTTTTAAGTTCACACTATTCCATCTTACGAACACATTGCAAAGTGAATCGTCATAGGCCATTAATATTCATGTTAATGGGTTCCTTTATCCTTGACATGATATATGAGCTTAATAAACATTTCGCCTAGTTACTACCATCATCATGTAATATTAAAAGCCTCTCTACTCAATATTTCTATATTAACAAAAGTAAAAGGTGTCAATTGTGAACTATGCAGTTCCACTCACCTCTATTGAGTCTTAATCTAATTGGTTACATTTTATGTAACTTTACAGTTGCTTAAAGAAGAGTTAATCATATTCTAGTCAGTCAGAGAGAAACACAAGTCAAACTAATGCCAACTTCACTAGTAAATGACCCACTGTTGGAGAACACGTTGGCCATCAGCTTTAGTAGCTTTAGGTGATAATATGTCAATGTTGTGTGTACACTTTATTGTGTTGCCTATATTAGCTTATCAAAGATCTGTTTGTGTTGTTGTATATGTTAGAGGATACGTCAAAGTAAAGAGTTCATGTAAATATGAAGTCTTTTGAAAACAGTCACTCTTAGTGGTCTGTTCACTGTGTTAAATGTTTAAGTCCCACACTGTAAGACACAACACCTTCTTCCTCTGTGAACTGCAGAAGTAGTTAACCGTTTAAAATACTCTTCTACATTTTAAATGTAACTCTAAAACTCATTCATTAACACAGTTTTATTTTGTGTTGTGTCAATACAAAAACCAGAGAGTCAATGAGCCCATTTTCCCAAAAGCTTAACTATTGACATCCTATATAAAACAAATGATTGCTTTTGTGAAGTGTTTACATTCAAAATAAACAGCTGATATATCTTTATCTGTTTTATTTTACTACATTTATTTTAAATATTGCTATGGGCCTCAGTGATGCAGTATGGTTGGGCCTTTGCTAATGAAAGAGGACATATGCACTGTGAGTATAACCTCTATGGTTGGACTCACAGATTTGAGTCTAGCTATAAAAGGATCTTAATTAAAAATCTGTCCCACAAGAGTAAATGAAAATTCTAGGCTGCAAAAATGTTATTCAACTCACATTTATCACCGGTAAAAAGGTTGAATGTGTGAAGTACTCAGACGTGTGCACATGTGCAGCCTAATACACACACACACACACACACACACACACACACACACACACACACACACACACACACACACACACACACACACACACACACACACGCCCACTAAGCTACACCCTCGTATGCACGCGACTCACACGCTCACAGATTGGCTGCGCTCAGCAAGAAGTGCTTCACGGATGGCAGTTTTCCTTTCTTTTTCCGCTCGACAGACTTATCAACCCAGCTCAGGTGGTGCCCATCTGCTTGCGCACATTTAAAATACACACACATACACTTACTGCTTACACAAGTGGACACATGCTCAAGGAATACACTCAATCAAATGTCTGCCCTTCAAATTTCATTTATTTTCCCCCTGGCTACTTCTCCCCCCCATACTCTCTGACCACATCCCAACCTCTCCTCCTGCTCCGTCCCACGTCCCTTCTCTTTCTTGTCCTCAACAACCTCAAACTCTCCTTAAGATCTTTTCTTTATTGCTCTGCCTGTCCTGCATGTACACTTGCCTGTCTCCACACCACCCCTGCATCCCAGTGACCGTACCCCCTGCTGTGCAGAGCCCACCCTGTCCAATGCAGCAGATGGCTGAGCAATACATGCATGCACACGGACAATCACGCCAACACAGGCATAAAACAAGCCTGGAGAATACACAAAATGTCAGAGCATATTCATGTTTATCTGTATATCAAGTGAAGTGCACACGCAGTTTTACACACGCTGACAAAATGCTCAGTCCACATAGTCAGTCATAATAAGAGCTGCAGCTTCAGAGGGGTTCAAAACTTGATCGGGGAAAACTTACATATATTTCTCATTCGCTTGCCATGGGGGTATAATGCATCATGAATGTATTCATCCCGGCAGCATTTATGCATTTATATAATTCTGTTGTACAGAGCCACGAGCTGCTGTGAATCAATACACACCTCAACCAGCATAATGGGGCTGTAGGAGGCATAAGATATGTACATACCAAAGACTATAAAAAGGGCCTTGACAGTGCTTCAAGAGGAAAAGACAAACTACTGGATCGAGGATGAGTAATGGTTTGAGGCTCAGCCCGTATAATGCCACAAACGTCTTTTCTCAAGAGGCAAATGATTCTTTATAAAGCATCATTTGACCAGTATTACAGGTCATTATAGATGCAAAATTATTTACCACACCCAATTCAGCCAATGTTTGTTTTTTTGGTAAATAAACACACAACATGGCTGGACAACAGTGTTGGCTACTACACACACCTCTCCATAAAGTGCCATTTGTTAGGCAATTATCTTTATTCTACCAAGCAGAAAATAACTTGTGCGGAATGGGAAGGTGTGCTGGTGCGAAGCTCATAATGCCATGCAGACACTATAATTAGGGCTCTTTTCACAGGGGGGGGGGAGTGGGGTCCTGGCCGACCTTAGGGAAAAATCTGACGGCCAAAAGCAATTTGCAGGGCGCCTTCCAATTTCCATGAATGATTCTTTGAATTTAACGATGTAAACAAACACGGTCTTCAATGGCTTGTACATCAGCGGTGGTCAGACTGTGAATGGTTGGCCGGTTGCTTAGAAACGGATGACAGACCTGACTGTGCCTCGCTGGTTTAATAACTTGTTAGGAGACGTTTATGCGCTGGATTTGCTGAAAAATCGTTCACCATCCCGCAGAAGTCCTAGGAAGCCTTCATGGTTTCAACCTTTCGTTGTAACCCCAATCCATTTGACTTTTGTTAGAAAGGAAAACATGCGCTGACATCTGGAAACATAAACTTATGCCCTTGTGTACTTTTAAGTATTTTACAGTCCTTTTACATTTCATTCCTGTTGTGGGTTAAAATCAATACATTGCAATGGCAAGTCAGGCTGTCGTCATAGAGACATGACCTGTGTGTCACCCTGTAGCAGTAAAATATGAACAGCGGATATACAGTATGTGTGTGTGGTTGAATAGAATAGATGTGTTCTGGGTCAACTACGCTGGTGGGCGGGAGATAAAGTCACTGCCACCTTGTTCTCAGGTCACCCGGGGCAAAGATGATGCACATCAGTTTATCCTTCTTTATACGAGTGTGTTTGTGTTTACCGGCAGAGAGGCGCGGTCGGGTCCTGGGCGTCTGCATCTCTTGCCGCGCGTGGGGCAGCATGTGATAGCGCTTGGCCTCGTTGACCAGGTCGCGGCACGCCTCCGACGATTTGATCAGCTCCTCGTTGTCCACCACGTTCAGCAGGTAGGACGGGTGGATGAAGGGGAGACGCACCGCCGCCAGCAGGTCTGACAGAGTCTGACAAGAGAGGGGGCAAGGAGAAGAAGAAAATGAGGATGAAGGCAATCATTGAGCAATGCTAAGATAACATAACGGACAGAAAAACTAAAGACACAGAAGTAAACAGTACTAAAACAGTGTTTGCAGATTAATTTATACTGGCATTGAAACTGCCAGGGGATGATCAAAGAGGTTTGATATGAACATTAAACAAATAGCTTTGAAACACAGCAGATCACAGTCAGTCAACAGACTCTCACATCTTTAGAAAGGACAGTTGGATTAACTCCCAACCTCATTATACATGTTTTTTTCGAAATAATATCATGAAAGCAGAAAGGGAAAAAAAAGAAGCATGTGCTGTTATAGGAAGGAAACCTGGTAGTAGCGTGGCCATTAGATCAGTAACTGTCAGTGTGAGGCCCTCAAAGCCTGGGCTTACCACGCTGCATGTGTCATTTTTCTGTTTCTATATTTCTGAAGGACAAAATGCCCAGGCAAGGATGAAAAGACAAGAAAAATCTCCAAGTCGCAGTTTTTTTTGTATGTATTTGGCGCCTGTACATATCCAAACAAAACTTAAAAACAACTCCAGCGACTTTTAATTCAGTCATTAAAACTGATTCATCATTCAACAAGAAGCCACAAATAACATATCTGCAAAGTTTTCAGTCACATCCGCTCACCACCTCACGTTCACAAGCGCATTTGGTTTTTGAGGCAGCGGGGGGGTATCTAACCGCTTCCCACATTCTGCTTCTGATTTTTCCGGCTCCAAATTAAATCTTACAGAGTCTAATGTTCCTTTGAAGCGAGATTAAGACACAGTTCTGGTTAATCACAACCCATTGATGCCAAGTGATGATCCAAAGAAGCTACTTACCAGGTTTTTAAAATCGAACAATAAAGAAATCCTAACTAAAATGTTCACCGTTTGCTTTAAGGTGAGGATTTGAGCAGGATGAGCAGGCTTTAAAGATAATTAATGATGTGGAGTGAACCAAAACTATTAAAATACTCAACTACGGCACCACAAGTATTTTGAGTGCATGTTTGCACTCAAAATACTTGTGTTTGCTCCTTTGCTGGGCAGCATACACTGATGTGTGCTAATGTATAGGTGTTCAGCCATGGAGGGAGGACAGCCTGTTGCCATGGTAACCTTGTCTATAGCTCTTGCTGCCGAATGTTATTTATTTTTCTTTCAGCATGTGTGTGTATAAATGTCTGTGTGCCCGTCTGTACTCCCAAGGGAGCCTCATCTATGTCGACAGTAAAAGCTGTAAACAAGCTTGGACGGAGCAACAGAGAGCTGGGTGGAGATTGACCCCGATGACCCCTCGGCTCAGAGCGACGTGGCCGAGACGTGCAGGGGACAGCGACAAAAACAACAGACTCTGAGCAACATCATTCAGGGGAGAACACATAATAAGCTGACACTCTGCTTAAGCATCCCCTACTCCCACCTGAGGCCTTTTTACTCTGGCATGTGACCCATTTGTTTTCTAACAATGTCCTGCGGAGCTTCTGACCAGAATAGAGGAAATAAGATGGTGGAGAAAGAAGAATGAGAGGAGGGAATGGCATGGGGGAGGAAGGACAAGAGGGAGAAGGCAAGCAAGGACAGAAGAGAAGGAAAGGAGAAAGAAGAGCAGAATGAGACAAGACAAGAAGAGGGAAAGTAAACTAAAGACAAATCGAGAGGAACAGGAGAGGATGAGACGGCACTCAGGGAAATCTGCCGATGACATCTCTTTGCGAGCCCTAATAGCAAAACAGCATCCTGCAGATGGGGCTGTCTTTTCCCCCTCTCCACAGGCGTACTAAACATTTTATCAAAAAAACACCCCAATATGCACATAAACACGGGCACTCGCTCCCAGCGCTAATAAAGCAAGAAGGTAAAGTCAAAGCATGTGTAGCATCCGGAGAAATTCTTCTGTGAAGATTCACAAGGTGAGGAGAAAATACTGCTTTCAATTAAAGTGCCCCCATACTGCGAGATTTGCCCCGATAGTTACTGAGTCATGTCACAAACAGAGGAGCTTTCTATTGCAAGTTATTGTTTTCATGTCTGTCTTAATCTCTCCGACTTTTGTCTTATGACATCTTTCATTAATGCCAGTAATCGGATGGGGGGCACATTTTTTAAATATATTTTGACACTAAAGTGAAAGCTTTTAAGACATATTTCTTTCAAACAAGATGCAAGTGAGACATTTTTTTTTAGTATTCAATTTTGTAAATCTGATTTGTTGGGTTTACAATCTCTCCATGTACTCTTACACCAAAGTACATAGTGTGTTTTCGTAGGCTGTGTAAAATGATGGTCATGTCATGTTTTTTACTAGAAATGTAATTTAATGTGCTAAGTTTAAACTCCCCTTGAGAAAACATACATTATTTCATATATGGGTGTGGTGCACTACAGCCTCTCGTGGCCAAAACAGGTATCACAACAACAATCACTTCGTCCTGACATAAATACATCTTCCTTCGAGAAAATGGATTGATGATTAGATTGATTTTATTTTAGGGAAAGGAGGAATGCATTCAAAGCCTTTTTTGCATCCGTTTATAACATGGATAGAAAATAAATTAGATTGGAAAAATAATCACTAGAATGTATTTTTTCAGTAAAGGAGGAACAAACTGCATTTTACTGTATTTAAAGTCAGTTCTGGCTCATTCATGTATCAGCAGGTCATCTGAAGTAGGTCCATTACTGACCCTCGGTGCTAAATTAAAGCTGAATATGGGGCAGTTCCAGCCAGGTGGTGCCCTCAGTGGCACAACATAAATAAATGTGCTAACATGTCTAGGGTTGCCTGTGGACATCTTGCTCATATTCTGAACAGCAGGTGGATGGGCTAGGAATATGTTAGTGGTCTTCTGTGGTGTGAAGTTTGCATCCCAAATATTCTGCTTCTATACAGTTCGAAAACATGCAGCTCAGGTGGGCTGGAGAACGTATTTATACATTTTACAAGGCAATAAAGTCATGACCTGTCCCAGATGCATCCCTGTCCGTTTAATGACCTTGACTAGGAATAGGAGAAAATCGGTCTTCTGGGAGCTCAGTAGCAAACTGCTCGCAGAATTCAGAGAGCGGGTGAATTGGGAGGCGCGGGTCAAGAGTTTGAGGCGGGATTGACAGACTAATCTAACAATTGAGCTCACACGTGTTCTCATTAGCAGTTTTGTCATGGTACCTTCTAAACCACATCCACACAACATGCACACCAACTTAACTTTCCTTTACCTGTGGGAAAATGAAGTAAAGAAAAGACAAGCTTGCTACTGTTCCATCTGCGGGTCTGAGCTACACACAAACCCACATCTGTTGTGGTCTCTTTTCACTTGCCAAATGTTTTTAAAATGGCAGTAAAACTACCTCAAAGAGACAGCATCTAGTGCCTGCAAAAAGGTAAGGTATTTACCACGAAAATATCCACCTAAATACACACCCACGTATACACACACACAGAAAGAGACAGATGGATAGACTAGCAGTAGAGCTGTAGGTTGATTGTACTGTATTTTAATCATGTGCTGTTTGAGGTCAAACTTGTTGAACCGGTTGGTTCATTGATTCAATGAAAATCTGGTTAAAAAGATTTAGACAATGTAAAGTCACATGGGCTGACGTCTGATTAAATAAACAACCATGAATTCAAATATTTTGTAAATTAGTGTGTGTGTGTGTGTGTGTGTGTGTGTGTGTGTGTGTGTGTGTGTGTGTGTGTGTGTGTGTACGTGNTCTGGTTAAAAAGATTTAGACAATGTAAAGTCACATGGGCTGACGTCTGATTAAATAAACAACCATGAATTCAAATATTTTGTAAATTAGTGCGTGTGCGTGCGTGCGTGCGTGCGTGCGTGCGTGCGTGCGTGCGTGCGTGCGTGTGTGTGTGAGAGAGAGAGAGAGGATGACTTTATTTCAGTGTAGAGCAGTTATTCCTGACTGTTACATTCCTCCATTTCTCGGAGAAATATAAAAAATTTACTCTTCATCAGAAATTCTAACCAACTCTATCTCACCCATTTCTTTTGAACCAACTCTCTCTCTTCGTTGCTACCTCCATTCCCGCTCCTGGCTCTCCCGCCCACACATGCATACATCGGCATTGGAAATGAGGGGAAGTTGCACACTTGCTGTTAAAATTCAAATCCAAAGTGTCAGACCCTGCATACAAAAAAAAAAAAAAAAAGTAGTCGTGCTTGGTGCCAGTTGGAACTACTCAAGAAGGAGTTTTGCATAACGCAAAAAGGTTCTTGTTTATCTTCTGGTTTTGTTTTAAAGAAACAAAGACTGTTTTGTTGCATGTTGAACAAAACATGACTATATTTTGGGGTGGTACACTACCTTTTTTTGGTGAAATGTATTGGAAATGTATTTCATCTTTTGTATCTTTGCACTGCAGACTCATCTTGTGGACAATCAAGGTTTACGCCTGTTTAATATTCAATACCACTATTGATCAGTGCTGGTACCTTGTCGAAACACATGATTTTTTAAAGGGGCCCTATTATGCTGAGGTTTCATATTTGTGTTTTGAGCCTCTGCTGTGACATGTTTTCATGCTTTAATGTTGAAAAGGCTCTTTATTTTCCTCATATTGCCTGCACTGCAGCACCTTTTTTCATCCTCTGTCTGAAACCAGAGCCCAGTCTGCTCTGATTGGTTAGCTGCATAGAGGGAGAGAAAGTCTCTGGTGGAACTTCGGGATTTTATCTTTTGCAGACCATTTACATGAACAAAAACCTATATAACACACTACAGGGAAGGGAAACCCTACTAACCATAATAGAGCCCCTTTAATTACTAACTTCCCTTTGTTGCGTCTATAGTAGAACGTTTTCAATTGTGAATATTCGCTGAACATAAAACCTCATTATAGATAAAACATGTCAATAATAAGTAGACAAGTTTGATTGATACTCAAATATAAATTAAAGCAAAAAGACAGCAAAATAAAACCGAGGTAAGACATGGAATAACAAAACCAACATTGACG